TTTTGTCATATTTGTTTTTGTCTCTATTTATATATACATACATTTATACATGCATACATATATACACATATATGTACACAAGCATACACATGACAGAGTCACTACCTTGCCCAGGCTGGGTTCAAACCCCTTAGCAGTCCTCCCACCTTAGCCTTCTAACTATGTATATATTTTAGCCTGAACCATCTAAGAGTTACTAGCAAACAAACAAAATTACTCATTGTGGCAAAAACTTCTGATCATATCTGCTAATAACAAGGGCATTATCCTGCATCACTACATAAAATTTTCATCAGGAAATACAAAACATTTTAATTACCACAATATTATCTATTATATAATCTATATTCAATTGTCCCCACTGTCCCAATACTGACCCAGGACTTAATCAAAGATCCCATACTGCATTTTGTTTCCCTGTCTCATGAGTCTTTTTTAATCAAGAATAGTTTCTCTACCTTCTTTACCTTTCATGACATTGATGTTTGAAGAGTCCAGGAAGTAGTTCTATGGAATGCTACTCAAATTGAACTTGTCTGATTTATCCTCATGAAGAGATGTAGATTAAACATTTTTTAGAAGAATAGCTCCATCTTGGTACATTACACTGGAGATTTTTTTTGCCTTCCTTGATGATATTTTGATCACTTGGCTACAGCAATATCTGCCAGATGTCTAGAATCTCAAAAAAAGTAACTTTTCCCTTTTGTAATTAGTAAGCAATATGAGGGTTAATATTTTGATTCTATTGAAAGTATTACTCCTTAATAGTCTTTATTAATTCATGATTTTAGCATATGGGATGATTCTTGCCTAAATCAAATTATTACTATAGTGGTTGCAAAATAATGATTTTTCTATTTATACTATTCATTTCTTCCACATTTATATTTGGCATCCTTCTGTACAGATGAGATTTCTATTTTTGTTTTTTTAAATTTTGTTTAGTACCATCATAAACTCATCAAATTCATCCTTGTTATTATTGATTTTGATGCTCAAATTTTCCCAAATTTGGCCAATGGGAACACCTTTAAGGTAATTCTTGTATCCTTTTGACATGTCCCCATCATTTTTTGAGCAATTTATTTCTTCTGTACTCACCTTATACTTCCCTTATTTTAGCCCTATAATTGGTCATTTTCCAAAGACCTCATTTTACTGGGGAATGGTACTAGAAGGCAAAATATGGTCACCAGATGTGCTTATCAACAAAGGATGTTCTTGCTTCTAGACCCCTTTCTTAGTCAGAGTTGTTTTGTTTTGTTTTATTTTGCTTTGTTTTAAATCACTAATACCTCTAATTCCAACCCAACACTACAGGATTCTTCCTCTTGTTATTTCATTCCCACTGAAGGTATACAAGTAATTGTGTTCAAAAATTAGTTGGATTCTCATATGCAATGGCTTCAATGTAGAAAATAAGAAAATAAAATAGAAAAAAATTTAATAAAATAAAAAAATAAAAATTAGTTAGACTTCTTTTTATTCTATTCTGTGGTTATGTTATCTATTTGATATCTAATTTTTTTTGTTTATTTGGTTTATTTGTTTACATTTATATTCAAATTGAGAGCTTTTCCCATCATTATTGATGTAAGATCATTTTATAAGATATTATACCACTTAGAAAACCAAATAATAATCTGATATAGTAAGCCTATTAGTATTACCTCTTTTTAAAAATTTGTTTTATTTTGTTTTTAATTGACAATAATTGCATACATTTATAAGTTACAGCGTGATATTTCAATTAGTAAGTCTTTTAACAAGTAATTTTGCTTCCTTAAAATGGAAAGAATTTCTTCATTGATAGATATTTGATTAGATCAAGACTGAAAAAAATCTGGAGAGTTCATTATAATCAATGAGGTAGTTTCTGTTCGTGTGTGTTGTTGCTTGAAGAATAAAATAAATGGTAACAATGAACTGAATTAAAACAAAACAAGTGTTTGCAATACAGGAAAAAGATAGAGTGCAAAAATTTGTATGCAAATGACTTTCCTTTAATTTACATGCAACATACATCAATCAACTTACAAACTTAGATAAGCAAGAAATGTAACTTTATTTTTTAGCCAGACCTGATACCGAGCTAGTATGTGCCAGCATTAGGCATGACAGATGTTAAATACTAAAATCTTTCATTATTAGTTCAAGCATATCCTTCTTCACTGTCACTGCCACTTTAGGCCTACTCCACAAACCCGCAGCCCTCTAAATGTCCCAGCAATTTAAAAGATGATGTCAGGCAAAGCAGGAAACCCACAGGATTTTTCAGCCAACATCTGTTTTAATTCGTTGGTACCAATCAGACGGCTATATTACCCTTGTCTTTATTTAAACTTAATTTCAATTTTTAGTGCCCATTCCACTGAGTGGCAGAAAAAATGTCACTTATGCCAAGGTTCTCATCCTCTTTCTCAGGGGTTATACCTAAGGTTCTTAGGTTATATATAAGAAAGCTTAATTAGGACAAAAAGAACACTGGACAGGGGGCTCTTAATAAAAGTGGCAGAATCTTAACCTTGGTATTGTTTTCTGTCTATGTGGCAGCCACCAAGACATCCCCACAGCTGTTAGGATGCTTGGTTACTAATTATTGGTGTCAACAGGTCCCTGCTGCCTCCCCTCTTTTTCCCAGTCTACATCTGCAGACTCCAGGGCCTCACCTGAACTGCTCTTAGGAACACAGAAAGTATCTTCCATCTACACAAAGCAGGGATATGCAGAGCTCATGAGGCCTGTTGTCATCCCATTGGTTTACATCAACACTGTCCAGCAGAAATATAATGCAAGCCGCAAACATAATTTAAAATTTTCTAATGTGCACATTTAACACATTGACTGTTACACTGGAAAAATCATTTTAACTTGGGGCCATGGTGGGGTTTTTTTGTGTTTGAGACAGAGTCTCCCATTGTTGCCCAGGCTAGCGTGAGTGCCGTGGCATCAGCCTAGCTCACAGCAACCTCAAACTTCTGGGCTCAAGCAATCCTGCTGCCTCAGCCTCCCAAGTAGCTGGGACTACAGGCATGCACCACCATGCCCGGCTAATTTTTTCTATATATTTTAGTTGGCCAATTAATTTCTTTCTATTTATAATAGAGATGGGGTCTCACTCTTGCTCAGGCTGGTTTCGAACTCCTGACCTCGAGCAATCTGCCCGCCTCGGCCTCCCAGATTGCTAGGATTATAGGCGTGAGCACTGTGCCTGGCTGGGGCCATGGTGTTTTATTATAAAAACAGAATAAAAACTTCTAAAACAAAATTATCCTTTCTAATGAAAAATTTGTTATTTTTTATTGTTTTCTGTGAGTTATATGAAGCTTGAAAAATAGTTCTCACAGCTCCCAAGGTGAAGTTACATATGCTTCACAAGGCTCTAGGCTCAAAATTAGCATGAGTTAAATATAACCCATATGGCAGTTAATGTGTTAAAAAGTATAATAAAAGAGTTAAAATTTAATTTTAATATTTTATCTAATCTATTATCATTTCAACATGTAATCAATATAAAAAATTATTGATAAGATCTTTTACATTCTTTTTTGTGCTAAGTTTTAAAATCCAGGGTTTATTTTATACATTACAGCACAATTTGGACTACCCACATTTCAAGTACTCAAAAGCCACACATACATTTCAAGTCAAAAAAAGCCCATGCAAATGTTGCTTCTATTCCCACTGAGTGCTGGGAACAGGATTTCTCTGGAGTCTTACTTCTTTCCTGGGTAATACCTCATCTGCTGGGCCTCTCTGCTCTTGTATTCTCTGAACTTACCTGGAGTTTCTATATTTTTTCCCTCAACCACTCCCAAACACAGCTTGCAGTCTGGAAGGCATGGAGCCCTTTCTGAAAGATATTCTGTTATTCTTTTTTCTTATGCAATGTCATTCTTTCTCTGAAACACACTATGAATCAAGGGAGAAGAGTACAAGATAAAAGGAAACAGCTCTGTTAATTTTTCAAAGTATTTATTTAGTTCCTACTCTAAGCCAGAATTCACTTAAATGTATCACAGCATCTGCACCTAAGGAAATTATAGTGACTGCAACTGAACATCCCAGATTCCCTGTGAAAGCTCCAATTTATGTCTCTTCCTGGCCTAATTAATAGCTCTCCCTTTCTCTTTCAAAACTGTCATGGTTTGGATAATAAAAGATAGTCATCTAATTATAGTCTGTATATATTGTTAGATTATTCCTCATACAACCCTATAAAATAAATAATTTTGTCCAAGTTTGGAAATAAGGAAACTGAGCAGCAGGAGGAATTAAGCATTTGCCCACAATCACAAAGGCAATACAGGGCTAAAATTCATTCAGTCTCCCTGACACGAAAGCCCATGAACTTTCTCTTCCATTACACCTAGCAGTAGGTCGTCTTTTGGCCCTGTAAGATTGAAAAACGTTCTTTGGGGATTTTCCACTTAAACTCCAACTTCACTGCCGCTCAGCTGTCAGCTGGTGGAAACTAGTCCCTGAAATGTTAACAGCAAGTCTACCCCGTTCCAAAGAGGTTTTCTAGGCCAAGTAAACCAGTTTAATAGTTTACAAAACAACACTAATAACTCTAAACTTTAGAGTGCCAGGTTCACTCAGGGAGAAAATTAAGAGAATTTTGATGACTTCCACACATCGTTGGTCACTAAGGTTTGGAACTCAATATCAGGGAGCCGCAAAACTGAGCAGGCCAATTAAATAAAAGAGCTATAAGCAAACTGCCTAACGCCTAGCCTCAGAAGTGCCTGCAGGTCCTTCAGAAACTGGCCGCGGTGTCTAGAGGTAGATGTGGAGGCCACAGGAGCATCAGTGGGCCACCGATTTGTCAGATGGAGATCTACTACTTGTACAGACAGGCAGCAGTGGTCCCAAATAAGGGACTTTGTGGAACAAAGAATGTTTTTTTCAGTTGAAGAGGTAATGAGAGGCAGAGAAGAAACGAAAACAGAAAAAGTACTCACACCAGAGGCGCCGACTAGGCAGGAGGAGCTGTGCAGGACCGACCCGGAAGTCGACGGTGTTTCCGGCCTTTGACCCGGACGACGCAGGTTCAGACTGGTCCGCGAAGTCTCGGCTGTCTTTGCGCCCTCATAGCTCTCGCAGCCAACGGCAGTCTCCACCTTCTGGTAAGATTTACTTTGGGCACAGTGGTTGGAATGTATCTGGCTTATATATATGATATACTAAACATACGCATCTGGCTAAAAAACTTGGAGAAATTAAAAAGGACTCGGTTGCCAAGAAGAAACCCCCTAGTTCCTGAGGCCAACCCCAGCACTGCCTCCGGGTTACCCTGATTCTACCGCTCTTGAGGACATACTTTATCATCTGAACCAAAAGCTTTTGTTTTCATGTCCAGCAATTAAATTTGTTAGATGCTGTGTTACCTTAGACCCAAAACGGGGCCCCAGGTTAACACATTAACTGCCATGTGAGTTGTATTTAACTCATGCTAGTTTTGAGCCCGAGCCTCGTGAAGCATGAAGTATGAAGACTCAGTTCTCCAACACGAATTCAGTAGGTTTGTTGTGAGTCACATACAACTCAGTTGGTATGCAGTGTAAAAATTGATTCTAACACCATATGAGTTGCATATAACTTACAGAAAACAATAAAAAATAACAAATTTGTCATTAAATTAAAATGAATCGTTTTGTTTTTGACGCTTTTATTCTATTTCCGTAATAAAACACTTTGGCCCCGGGAACAAATTTTCTTTTCTAGTGTGGCAATCAAGGTGTTAAGAACTATCCTTAGCATTTCCAACATCCTCACCTCTTTCCATATCCTCTTTCCAGCTGCTTCGGAGGTTCTAAGGCTGGATTTAGGGTGCTAGATTATTAAATATAGCCTTTAATGTGTAGTCGATCTTCTTTGGGATTTCTGCTACCTTTTGTCAAAAGAAAAATTGAGTTTTGTGTAAATGATCAGGTAGAAATAATGCTGATTTCACAGTTTACCAATTATAATGGGTGCTTGTTAAATATTTGGTATTAAATTATGTTGTTTTAAAGTAATTAAAATTAATATCTATAAGCCAGTTTCTGACAAATTATTTTATACTGTTTTCACACAGCTCCATAGTTGCTAATTTAATCAGTAAATCAATTTGCTCTTCATTAACTGAGAAACTATATTCTGAAAATCCTGTAAGGAATGGGGAAATTTAAATATATGAAAAATAATTGTCTTTGTCCCAGTAGAGTTTATAGTCTAGTATGCATGTTTTTCCTTAATGATGTATTTGATCTGACTCTTTTCCCTCAAAAGAATCATACTGGAGATTACAGGTACATTTGACATTACGTAAACAGGTGTGCATGGGGGTTTTTTTTACACAAATGGTAACAAAATATACAAAGAGGTCACCCCTTGCCCTTTTTTAAAAATTGTGACCATTCCATATCAGTATGTAAGGAAAAGGAACTCCATTCCTATTTTGGCTGCATAAGATTTTATGGAATGTATATAAATGAGCAGTTGTCTATAAAGAAAATGTTATGCCTTTCACATTTTAAAAATGTATTTACATCATGAATGTAATCCTAGCACTATGGGAGGCCGAGACTGGCGGATCATTTGAGCTCTGGAGTTCGAGACCAGCCTGAGCAAGAGCGAGACCCCCATCTCTATTAAAAAAATAGACATAGCTGGGCAACTAAAAATACATATATATATAAATTAGCCGGGCATGGTGGCACATGTCTGTAGTCCCAGCTACTCGGGAGGCTGAGGCAGGAGGATCACTTGAGCCCAGGAGTTTGAGGTTGCTGTGAGCTAGGCTGATGCCACAGCACTCTAGCTCAGGCAACAGAGTGATACTCTGTCTCAAAAAAAATGTATTTACATTATAACTTTATAGTGATTCTCATAAGAAAAGTGTGACCCAAATGTATAATAAAATCAGCATCTCAAGAAGGATAATTCCTGCTTCTCTTCTCAACTGATGCTTTGTTTTTTACTATAGTCAGAAATTATCCTTGTAATTTGTCAAATGTATAATCAGCTCATATTTTTTTAATTAGAAAAATATTTGAATAGGTAACCTTTACCATAGATCAAGATACAAAAGTGATTTCATGTAAAGGGCCTCTCTCAACCCTATCCTCCAGCTCTTAGCTCCTTTTGGCAGTCATTATTACCATTTTCCTGTATACTTTTGAGAAAGAGCCTGTGCCTAAATAAACAGGTGTGCATGGGGGTTTTTTTACACAAATGGTAACAAAATATACAAAGAGGTCACCCCTTGCCCTTTTTTAAAAAATGTGACCATTCCATATCAGTATGTAAGGAAAAGGAACTCCATTCCTGTTTTGGCTGCATAAGATTTTATGGAATGTATATACCATATTTGTTTAATCTGCTACTGATGAATGTTTAGGTTGTTCTTTTGCTATTATAGTGATAGCCTTAAACCTAAATTTGCACTAAATGTAGCTAAATACCCATTTCCTTGGGGGTTTTGTTTCAGAGAGCCTGTTGGGCAGCTTCAGTGGTAGTGCCATTTCTGAAGACATTTTAGCAGAACCAACAAACTGGGAGAATTATTTAGAGAACCTTTTTTCAGATGGTGATGGAAATGATTCTAAATGTGGTTATAAAATTATTCTGCTTCTCTTTCAAAAAAAAAAAAAAAGAATGCAGAGAAAAATCCCGACTGTTGAAAATTCCATAAAATAGTACTAAAGAGAGAAATTTTGAAAGACTAAATGTAACCTGGGCTTGCAGGAGGTTAAATACAGCATCACCAGCTTCAGTAGTGTGGAATAAATAAGGTTAAGTACTGACCAGTTTTTCTCTGTCCCCAGTGGAGACAAAGAGAGAAGGAATGAGATTCAGTGTAAGCAACAGGGAAAGGTTGGGTGTAATAAATAACTTCTGTGTAGTAAGGACCAGGCTGGATTTTAAATACCTCCTAATCATTGAGGATCCTCCTGTTCCAGGTCAGAAAACAGACAGGAAGGAAGTGACCAAGGTGCTATTTAGTCACCCTGAGAACTATTATTCACTGCAGGAATCTGGATAGTGGGAAAAAAAAAAAAGTGTTTATAAATGTTATTACTACATGTGTGCTCCATTTCTTCCAATTATATTAAAAACAGCTGCTATCAAGGAACAAACATTTGGGTCGTTCTGGGGCTGTGATTTTCAATTCCAGAATGTACCAATAAATATGACATTTAAACAGTGCTTTCAAAGCCTTAAATAGAATGTTTAAATTAAGAGAAGGTTTGTTCTCCCACATTTTTCTTCTCATTCTGGCATCACCTTTGACCCTTTATGTTCCCCTCAAGACAAGACTTAAAAACCTGAATTATGAGGAGACTCTTTTCCCAACCCAAAGCTACACCTCTACCCCTCCACCCCCAGAGCCCCATAAGTCTACTAAGATTGAAATTTGCTTACAATGACATGCTGGTAAATCAAGTGGGCACCAGGGAGCTCAGATTTGTAGCATTTGCTGGTTTTCGTAGTGTAAATACTCCCACCATGGCCGATTTCAAGGACAGTTGTGTTTAACAAACAGCTTGCAAAATTCCTGAAAACTTCAGGGTGGGTTTTCATGAGCTTGTGGGGACAAATCCATCACATCACTGGCAAGGGAAGTTTTGTGAATCCAGTTCTCTGCCCCCCACACACAAAAATATGCCAAACCTTTGAGTATAGTCTTATACAAAAACAACAACAATAAAAATAACAGCTGCCCCTTGGTAATTGCTATGTGCCAAGCTTTGAAGTACTTTAGATAATATATATAGATTATTGATCCCCACAAGGACTGTGTGAAGCCATTATCATTATGTCCAGGAATAAAGGCTCAGGAGGCTAATAATCTGAGCAAGGTCACAGATATTGGAAGTTATAGTGGCAGAATTCGAACTCAAGCCTATCTGATTCAAAATCCATGGTTTAACCTCTTCCCTATCCCACTTCTTTTACTGTGAATCCAGTTATCCCAATGGCCTTTCAGAATCCCTGCTCACCTCTTTGTAGTACTTTCCTGCTACTTTTTCTTCACCTGCGTGTGGCCCCAGTTACTTTTTCTCTTATTCCCTATCAAAGAATGTTTGCTAATGGAGGGCAAGGCTGTGTGCCAGGCATCTTTATATACAAATAGTGCCCTGTGAGTACTCTATTAATGTAATAATGAGTTAATTAATTCAAAGATTCAAACAGAGTCCATGTCAGCTTTATTCCTGTTGTTTAGAACACTCAGCATGTCACATTCCCTGGGCACTCAATCCCTGGGATTAAGGTAACAAGAAGATACATTGGAGCCTTAAATTGCAGTTTGATTATAAGACACTGCTACCACCTTCATTGGGTTTAAGATAGATAGATAGATAGATAGATAGATAATTTTAAGGTTAGAAGAAACAAAAGACTTAATATTCCTAGTTCATAGGTAACCTGGGTCTGTCACCTATATTTATCTCTCATACTCTTTAAAATGCAAAAGTTTCAAATAGTCATTTATTGCTTCTCTGCCCCCTAAATGATTAAATGTCACCTCTCCAGACTTGAGGCTATAACTAGTCACCCTGACTCCCAGCTCTTTGACCTATAAAATAGGCTCATAAAAATTACAGCCTGGAAAGCAACATCTGGAACAACCCATGGACAAGGCTGATAAATCATTTTATAAATTCATAAAACTTAAGAGGGTTTTCATTTGAATAATAATAATCACACTTCAAAAGAATCTCAGTAAGTACTTTTAAAAATGAGGCACAGTGGGGTTTTTAAGTAGCAGTGTCTAATAGGGTATTGCTAAGTATTTGGCTTCCTTTCACAATGTGTAAATTAGTTGGGCAAGTTAGCCTGAACTTTTAATGCCTATGACACATGTGAAATCCATGAGATGTTAAGTTGGATGTTGGTTAGAATGTAGAAATCTGATTTATATCACTTATTCTACAGATACTTCCACCTATAGATGAGCATCTCTTTTGCAGTATACATTCTATGTCCTCTTTGGTGGACTCCAATGGCCAAGATAAGGATTTTATGGATATCCCAATTAGATATTTTTATGGCATGCCTAGGAATGACTATTAAACCAGGAGATATTCTTTCCACATATACCTTTCTTGCAATATATGGTACGGAAGTATTTTAGCAAGTT